ACGGAACCATGGAATTCGAGTGTCCAGGCTGGCGAACGTCGACGACGTCGTCTAAAAGGAAGTCCTGATGAGGGGAAGCCCGAAAGGGAGAAACAGCAACAATTTCGCCCCGGAGGGAGGGGAGGGGGGCAGACGTTGACGGCGGGCCGAAGCAAGACGGCGAGGGGGAAGAGGCGGGACGAGGCGAGGGGAGAATGGGGCCTCGAGCCTGGGGGCCGCGAGATACCCGAAAAGAGCGCCAAACGACAGGGTGCCATGCTTCCACAGCGTTCCACAAGCTTGCCGCCGCCGACCGCCAGGAGAGAGCGCCAACGGGAAACAGCCGCCGCCCTTCCGCCGACTCATCACCGACATCCACCAGGCAAGACCGGCGGAGGAGGGGCGGCAGAAGAGGCCAGGTGCTACACTTCCACGGCCGTCCGCGTGCTCACCACCGCCATCTGCAAGGTGAGTGCGCCACCCGTGGCTTCCGCTGATCATGTTTTCACCCGCCATCTGTTCCGACCCGACCTGCAGAAGATGGTGGGGACCAAGCCCCATCGCCGTGCTGCGGAGCCTGACGGAACTGGCGGCCGGGAGTGAGCACCGAGCCCCGGGTGTATTGGGGGGCGGGGGCATGACCTGCCCAAAACCACAAGGAACCCGACGGGACCGTGGCGTGGGCAGGGTATGCTCCCCTGAAGGTTTGGGAGGCACAGCAGCACCACATGCGTGGCATGGATGCCGGACGGAGCACCACGCCACGGACGACGCTGAGAGACCCTTGGTGCACGGAGTGGATGGGAGGCACAGCGACTCCACATGAGTGACATGGAGGCCTGACGGAACACCATGGCACTGACGACGCTGGGCGACCCTTGGTGTACTGATGTGGCGGATGTCATATGACGCCAGAGCGTGATGGTTTACTGACATTGACAGGCACCGTCAGCCAGCATGGTATGAATCCCGTTCACGGCCCCTTGGAGGAAGGTGTTTGTTTTGTTCGGGCGTAACTCGAATTTGCTTCTCGGGAGGTGAACTGGACTGGTCTGAAGTACACTGATTTGAACTGAGCTGAACTGACTGGTCGCACTCGTTACGCGACGGCTTTACTCTCGGCGGCAGAGGGCACAACCTATGGCGCAACCAATAGGAGGCGTCTAAATTCTCGGCCCCAGAAGGCGCAACCTATGGCGCAACTGCTTGGGAACGGCTCTATTATCGGCCGCAGAGGACGCAACCGATGGCGCAACCGATAAGATACGGTGTCATTCTCGGCCCAGAGAGCGCAGTCTATGGCGAAACCTATAGCAGACGATTTTAATCTCGGCGGCCGCTGGCGCAACCTATGGCGCAACCATTAGGAGATGCTTTTGTTTTCGGCCGCAGCGGACCCAAACCTATGCCGCAACAAAAAAGAGATCGTCTTATGATTAGCGGCCGAGTGCGCAACCTATGGCGCCGGTGTTATTCTCGGCGGCCGAGGGCGCACGCTATTGCGCAACCGATGGGAAACGGTTTCACCCTCGGCGGCCGATGGCGCAACCTAAGGCGCAACCGATAGGAGATGGTTTTACTCTCGGCGGCCGAAGGCGCAACATATGGCGCAACCAATAGGCGACGGTTCTCTTCCCGGCCTCCGAGGGCGCAATCTTTGGCGTAACCGATAGGAAACGGTTGTAATCTCGGCGGCCGACGGCGCAACCTATGGCGCAACCGATAAGAGACGGTTGTATTCTCGGCGGCCGAGAGCACAAACTGTGGCGCAACTGATCGGAGACGGTTGTATTCTCGGCCGCACAGGGCGCGCCCCATGGCGCAACAGATAGGAGACGGTGTTATTCACTTGCACAGGGTGTCTAGAACTCCGACCACTTCATTCCGCGTCGCACACACACACATACACACACCTTCCCCCCGCGTCCCCAGCGCCAGAGTGGGACCCCCGCGCCGTGGCTTTCTGCCCCGAACCCCCCCCCGTCCCCAGCGCCTCCGCGGGAGCCCCGCCCACTGCCCCCTCCGCCACGAACGCCCTATTCCGCGTCGCGCCCCCCTCCCCCCTCCGCGTCCCCAGCGCCAGAGAGGGACCCCCGCGCCGTGGCTCTCTGTCCCGAACCCCCGTCCTCAGTGCCCCAGTTGGACCCCCGCGCCGTGGCTCTCTGCCCCAAGCCCCGCCCATTGCCCCTTCCGCCACGAACGCTTTATTCCGCGTCGCGACGCACACCACCTCCCCCCCACCTCCCGTCCCGCGCCCCCAGCGCCCCAATGGGATCTTCGCCCCGCACCCCCTCCGCCCCGACTATTTTATTCCGCTTCGCGACGCACGCCGCCTCCCCCTCCCCCACCGTCCCCAGCGCCCCAGTTGGGCCCCTGCCCCGTAGCCCTCTGCCCGAGCCCCGCCCAATGCCCCCTCCGCCGAGACCAAATCATTCCGCGTCGCGACGTACACCACCTCCCCCAGCTCCCGCCCCGCGCCCCCAGCGCCCCAAAGGGACCTTCGCCCCGTGCCCCAACCCGCCCCGACAATTTTATTCCGCGTCGCGACGCACACCACCTCCCCCCCTCCCCCCCGTCCCCAGCGCCCCAGTTGGACCCCCGCCCCGTGGCCCTCTGCCCCGAGCCCCGCCCAACGCCCCGTCCGCCACGAACGCTTTATTCCGCGTCACGACGCACACCACCTCCCCCCCCTCCTCTCCGCGCCCCCAGCGCCCCAGTGGGACCTCCGCCCCGTGCCCCCTCCGCTCCGAGCACGCACTCTATTTCGCGTCGCGACGCACACCACCTCCCCCCCCCTCCGCACTTAGGATCTGGGCACCGTTGCTGGGACCCGAGGGGCGATGTCTTGCCCCCTCTTCCCCCCTCCTCCTCCACCTCCTCCTCCTCCCCCTTTGTTTTTTGTGCAAGAGCCATGGCACACGTGCCACTTGTTCTCGGCTCCGGATGGCGCAACCTATGGCGCAACCAATAGGAAACGATGTTTTTTGCTCGGCGGCCGCTGGCGAGACGGTTTTCTTCTCGGCCGCAGCGGACCAAACCTATGGCGCAACCGATAGGAGCAACCTATGGCGCAACCGCTAGGAGCCAGTGATACTCTCAGCGGCCAAGGGCGCAAGCTATTGCGCAACCGATGAAAAACGGTTGTACTCTCGGCCGCACAGTGCGCAACCTTTGGCGCAACAGGTAGGAGACGGTTGAGGGCGCAACCTATGGCGCAACTTCTATACTCGGCCGCAGAGGGCGCAAGGCGCAACCGATAGGAGACGGATTTATTCTGGGCCACAGAGGGCTCAACCTATGGCGCAACCGGTAGGAGTCGGTTTTACTGTCATTGGCCGAGGGCGCAACCTATGACGCAACCAATAGGAGACTGTTTGATTCTCGGCGGCCGAGGGCGCAACCTATGCGTGCCCCTGGTACGACCAGGACGCCGCCAACGCACTCACGCGAGTAGTACGAGGACGAAGCGTGGGTATCCAAATGCGTGCGGGGCTACGCCCGATGTATGCTCGCCGTTGGGCTGGTGGTGGGGCCCAAGCGGCGAGCTGTCTTCTGATTGACTGGTGTATTGGGTTTCGATGTCAAGAAGGTGGAGGTACGTTTGGACCCTCCTTGATGGATGTCTTCGTTGGCCGAGGGTCCATAAAGCCGTCCTCGGCCCCTTCCGAAACCTAAGCGGCAGAAAGTGAAAAGGTGGTGGGGACCCATACGGCCGCATGATTGCATGAGCGACGTGGAACCTAGTCGGGACCACGGCGCGGGCAGTAGGAATAATCCCGTGTTGGTGGACCCCTCAAACGTTTCGTGGCCCCATGTGGGGGCTCCACCGAGGGCCCCAGTGGCAAGGTTCACATGGGTACCTATTGGCAGACCCCTCACACGTTCCGTGGCTTCATAAAGGGGGCCCCACCGAGGGCCCCATGGGCAGGGTTCACACGCGTACCCGGGTCCATGTTGGCAGACCCCTCACACGTTTCGTGGCTTCATAAGGAGCTCCACCGAGGGCCCCCGTTTCAGGGTTCGCATGCGTACCTGGGTCCATTTCGGCAGACTCAGGACGAGGTCCACCGTTTCTTCGTTTGCCCTGCGCAGCAGGCTGAGCGCGAGGGGGCAGGTCTGACGCATGAGCTCTCCGATCGATGCATGCAATGCGCTCCGGACGCCTTCCTCTGTGCGGCCAGAGCGCACTGGTACACGAGGAAGCCACGCTTTGCTGCCCCGGCCCTCGTTTTGCTTTGTGCTGTTTGCTTCGTGTTGATTTGTGCTGCTCTGTCTTGCTCGTGTTTCTAGCGTATCCCACTTTGGTCCCGCTCACTGCCCAACGTGAGTGTCACCACTCGGAACTAAGCAATGACCGTTCTCATATCAGCTGTTCATGTGTGCATGGCTCACGCGACATGGGAGGAGACGTCCCAGCTGACAGAGCCACAGTAATGCGGCACGACATGACACCAAGTTGGTAAGCCAACACATGGAATCCGCAGGCGGGGCATGAACCTCCCTCCTGATCCGCATGTGTCTCTGACTGGTTTTCCTCATCCATGCTCCACCTGCCTTTGTTTCTCCCCCTCATCACCAACACCCGTCTCGTCCGCCTCTCCTGCACCGCATCCACCTCATCCTATTCCTTCTCTTCCTCATCCACATCACCCTGCTCCTTACTAGGTCCGCCTATGGATGGTGCCCATTCCTGGCATCCGGCATCACGACCTGATGCTGCTGCTGCTGCTGCTCCTTTTCGTCAGCATCATCATTGTCATCCACATCCTCACTCTCCTCCCTCTCCTCCTGCGCACTCGCCTCCTCGTCATTCCCTTGCTCCTTGCTTATCGTTCCCCCGCCGCCATCGTCCTTTTCATCATACCCCTCCTCATCCTTCTCCTCTTCCTCCTCCTCCTCCTCCTCATCCTCCTTCTCCTTCATCTGCTCTGCCTCGCCCTACCTTCTCTTCCTCTTCCTCGCCCTCCCCCGACCCTCCTTGAGCGCCTTCCCACAGATCCTCTCGGGTGCCGCCCCTTCGCTCATGCCCGCTGGCCCCTGGTTTCCATGGACTTCTCCAGGTAGCCCCGCATCGCCTCTGGCTCCCCCAGGAGCTCCATGACCGCTATCGCCTCCCAGCGGCACGGAGCGCATCGCGGTTCGGTCTCCCGCCCGTGTTACATGCAGGAGACCGCACCGCGAGTCCACTGCAGGCCGCGCGCGTGCTGACTTGGCCAGACCCGGGGCTGCGCCACGCAGACGGCCCACGGCCCCCCAGAAGCACCCCGTGGGGGTCCAAAGAAACGGTGCAGCGAGAGACCGCGCGTTGACCCCGGAACCCCCAAGGACCTCACCGCACAGTCCCTCGCGCCGCATCGCCAATGCATCGCCGATGCGTCGGCGATGAATCATCGACGCCCGCGACGTATCGTCACCGTCGGTATGGAGAAACTCGGGCTCCTCATCTAGCCGCATCGCCGATGCATCGGCGATGCGGCGCGATCCTCCGACCCCACCTGCTCTAAAGGGGCCATGGGACACACAAAAAAACTGCACACAAATAAATGGATTCCCCATATTTTCCCATATTTTCTGGGTTTGTGTCTTCCCCTCCACTTCCCATATTTTTCCAAATTTTCCTGGGAATCGACGATTCATTGTGTCTGCGTGTTTTTTCCCCTCCTGACTGCTCGGAGCCCCCGTGGGAGGCCTGGGAGAAGTCGAGGCGGGCCTCGGCAGGGCCTGCGGCGGCCGCGCCGGCCTGGCCCCGCCTCCCCGCGCGAGCACGGCACGGCAACTGCAGCCGGCCATGCTGCCAAGTCCGTCTACGGGGCAGTTTTCAATACATAGGATTTGTTTTAAATATCGGATTCTTAGTACATGGTTACTTTATGGATAAATGTATGCATGAACTCATCGTTGTTCTTAATACCAAATTCATGCATGTTGAACACATGATCCGAACGCGGAGCATGCATTCAAACCGGCACTGTACGAATACATGTTCCTGCGTCTGCACCGACGGCCCAACATAAACATGCGAGGCTGTACCTGCAAGCGCAGCTGCACCTGAACAGATGACTGCAGAAAAACGTAGGAGTCTTCAGCCTGAGCGACAGGCTCCACCGGGCCGTCCAGGTCGCACTGCGGGACCAGCACATAGGGAAGCCCCCGCCAACAAGGCCAAACGTAGGCCCCGCGGACGGGGTCACGCCACTAAAGGCATCGGATACGTCGGAAGGAAAAGAAGACACCCCAAGAGACTCTGCGAACAGCTGGTCGTGAAGCGGGCAGGGGCGGTTCACAGCGATGAACTCTTGCGCTTTCCAAGCCGATGCTGGAATATTCGCGTCTCCCCTCACCACCCGCGACCAGCCGACCACCCCTTCTATCATCTACGGCGCTCTAGCGCTGATGGGGACGTGCATGTGCACTCCCTTTTGGTACAAACTGCTTCGCCACTACCGCCCCGACGAATAATACTACTACGATTGTTCCTCCCACGTCGATACCATCCCATCACCACCGATTCGGGATGTAGGATAAGACTAGCTGGGAGATGAGAGCCGATATTGATTCCTCCTCCATTTCTTTACCTCATGATCAACTCCTCCCTGTCTCACGTCTCACCCCGCGCCCAGTCGAAAGGGCTGGTCGGGCGTTTCGCTTGAGACTTCCTTGCTACTTATGAGCCTGAAGCTTCAAAAATTGGTAGTAGCTTCACGGATGGATGGATGGATGGCCGCTTCCAAAAGGTGGTTCTCGCCTCAGCGTTGCGCACATTCTTCTTAAAACGTTGCTGAACATTCGCTAGTTCAAAGCGGGTGATATTCAAAATGTGGCTCTCGCATTGGCACCTCGCACATTCGCTTTGAACGAACTTTGCGAGCGTTTCACTTTGAGGTTAGCTCCGCTGTCAAAATGTGGCTCTTGCCTTGCAGGAGGTTCGTTAATTTAAATGTTTACCGTGCCAGAGCTGACGTGTTGGAACGATTCCGGATTGTCAGGGCGCAGCGTATGTTGATTCGCGGTGTTGTAATCCCAGGACTGGTGTTCTGGAACGATTCAGGATCGCCAAACCGCATCAGTCAAATTGATTCGTGGCGTTAGTCCTGTGCATGGTGTCTTGGTACGCTTCGGGATTTTCACACGGTTGTCCCCAAGCGGGACACTTCCCGCAGTGGACTTGAACCCCTGCGGGGCCTAGGAAGAGGGAGGTTGGGGGGAGGTGTATTCCAACATCGTGGATGAGTCTTGGGCTTGCACTGGTCCTCCCTCCGTCTCCTCCCCATTCACCTCTTCCTCCTCCCTCACGGATTCCCAGGGGTCCTCCTCCTGCCACCACTCCCGCACTGCCTTCAGGTTGGCGAGGTGCTCGCCCTTCATGTGCGGGATGGCCCCGCTCAGCGCCAGCTTCAGCGGGCGGGCCCACAGGTGGCTGCCCAGGTCGAGCTGGGCATAGCCGGGCGAGAGAGCAGACACGAGGTGCCCCCTGTGTTGCCAGGCGCGCGGGAGCAGCTTCTCGGCGTGCGCGGCATGCGGACGGCGAGAACCGGAAAGAGAGGGGCACGAGGATGTGCGGCCCGTCCGGGAGACCGCACCTATGGCGTAGGCTTAAGTCAGGCCTGTCCCTCTACAGGAGGAGTATTCAAAAATAGTGAAAATATAGTCTGTGCATGATTTTTGACTATTTTGGAATATTTGGAGGGCATTGTCTCAGTATTTTTCATTTTTCGCCCCAAATCCCCCTGGAGGGGGACACGCCCGACTTAAGCGTGAGCTGACTTGATCCCCTCAAGCCTCCGGCTGAGGCATCCAGATTACGACTGGGCTTGGCCGAACCTCCACCGGCGCCCAGATGTATCTACAGTGCATGTCAGCATGTGCGAAGACACAAGAGAAACACCCGCGAGCGTCGCACGTTCTTTCGTCAGGGCCTGCCAGACCCCCTGGGGAATCTCGTTGGTGTCCTGCGCCATGATCCTCCCCGCGGCGCTGCGACAGGCCCGAGCGCATGAGGTAGAGCAGCGCAGCATACTCACACTATCAGCTAATGGCTGGGTGTAGCAGCTGAGCTGCCACAGAGCTGCGTGGCACAAGCACACTTGGGCGCCCGAGTTATCCGGGGTAACTCGGGTCCGGGGTAACTCGGGGTCGGATTCCCGAAAAACGAACCCGAGTTAGCCCTGACCCGAGTTACCCCTGATCATTCGGGGCTCTGACACACGCCGATTGAGAGGAGACCCCTTCACGCCTCCGAGCCCGCATCACGTACCTCGGGGCAGGCCTGCCTGGACGCCGGCCTGAGGCGCATCCTAGCGCGAGCGGCCCCGAGAGAGCGGCCCCCGATCACGAGAGGCCGGCGCCCCCGCGTTCCGGAAGAGTTCCCCCTGCACTCCGCGCCGCGCGAGGAGGGGGAGGAGGAGGAGGAGGAGGAGGAGGAGGAGGAGGAGGAGGAGGAGGAGGAGGGAGGAGGAGGAGGAGGAGGAGGAGGAGGAGGGGAGGAGGGGAGGGGGAGGGGAGGAGGAGGAGGAGGAGGAGGAGAGGAGGAGGAGGAGGAGGAGGAGGAGGAAAGGGAGGAGGAGGAGGAGGAGGAGGAGGAGGAGGGGCCGTGTTTGGGGGCGGGGGGGAGGGCCCGAGACGTGGGCCGCTTTGGGGCGATCCTGAGACGTGAGCCCGCCGGGGCCACATCTGGGCCCGCGCGAAGGGCAACCAAGTCCCCCCTCTCGGGCCTGCTCTGCAGCGTCGGAGGCGACGCCCAACGAGAATTACAGAGAACACGCAAGCATGCAGAATCATACTAGAGTTAGGTCGGGCATCTCCTCCCACAGGCGGATTGTGGAAGAATAGCTAGAACAAATCAACAACAAACCAAAGATAATCATTATTCACTGCGTGGAGCTCCCCATATGTGCATCTACTCGCATGGACCTGTCCGCCGTGAATGTCTAGGCGCAAGAGCTTTCGAATATTAACGGGCTTCAGTTGTGACGGTCTGGACATCAATCTAACTGCGAATGAATTGGAGTGTGAATGAGCCTCAGTAGTACGAGCGCGTCTCTGTGCATGAGCCTGGGGCCTCCTGGGGCCTCCTGAAACCTACTGGGGCTTCCTGGGGTCTCCAGGAGCCTCTTGGGACCTCCTGGGACCTCCTAGGAAGGTTTCGTGCCCCAGGAGAGGCGCAATCTATAGCAACAGACGTACATAAAACATTGCGGATTAGAGCCACAGGAGAAGGGCAATCTATAGGAACACGCGTAAAACACCAAGGACTCGTGCCCCAGGAGAGGCCCAATATATAGGAACATGAGTAAAACATTTAGGATTGTGTACACAGGAGAAGGACCATCTATAGAAACATACGTAGAACATCAAAGAATCGTGCTCCAGGTGAGGCCCAATCGATAGGAACATACGTAAAACACATGGGATTGGAGCCACTCCTGTTGCCTTCTGAGGCCTCCTGCTCCTGGGGCCTCTCGGGGCCTCCTGTTGCCTTCCGAGGCCTCCTGGCGCTTCCTGTTGCCTCCTGGGGCCTCCTGTGGTTTCCTGAGGCCTTCTGGAGCTTCCTGGGGCCTCCTGGAGCCTCTTGGGACATCCTGTGGCCTCTTGAGTCTTTCTGTGGCCTCCTGATGCCTCCTGGGACCTCATGTGGTCTCCTGGGGCCTCCTGGAGCCTGTTGGAGCCTCCTGTGGCATCCTGAAAGAATCTGCGCCCACGAGCCTGGCCACCAAAACAAGCAAACCGATCGAGACATCCTCAAAATCTGGCCCACCTGGGGGGTGAAAATGAGCGCCTCGCTCGAGACATCCTCCAAATCTGCTCCGAAAGCGAAGGATGTTGAGCCCAGAAACAAGCAAACCGCCTGAGACATCCCCACAAAATGGCCGCGAACGAGCCCGTGCAACCACCCCTGGCGGCTCCCCTTCGGGCCACGAGCCTGGCCACCAAAACAAGCAAACCGATCGAGACATCCTCAAAATCTGGCCCACCTGGGGGGTGAAAATGAGCGCCTCGCTCGAGACATCCTCCAAACCTGCTCCGAAAGCGAAGGATGTTGAGCCCAGAAACAAGCAAACCGCCTGAGACATCCCCACAAAATGGCCGCGAACGAACCCGTGCAATCACCCCTGGCGGCTCCCCTTAGGGGTGCTGAAACCAGCGCCCCGCCTGAGACATCCTCACACTCTGCTCTCCAAGCGAAGGATGTTGAGCCCGGAAACAGGCAAACCGCCTGAGACATCCCCACAAAATGGCCGCGAACGAACCCGTGCAATCACCCCTGGCGGCTCCCCTTAGGGGTGCTGAAACGAGCGCCCCGCCTGAGACATCCTCCAAATCTGATGTGTGTTGAGTAAGTCTGAGTATGAGTAGGTCTGAGTATGAGTATGCCTGAGTATGAGTAAGTCTGTGTATGAGTAAGTCTGCCCTTTCTTTCTACTAACGGCCCTTCCGATCCCGATTGTGCTATATTGGATTGGCTGCGTCCGCCTTTGAACGGCATAGTTCTGGCTTGGGCACGCAGGAGGCGTGCCTTTCTGGTTTGGGCGCGCATCGGGCGTGCCTTGCATAGAACATCTGGAGGCCTGCTGGGCCAGCCTGGAGTTGCGCACAATTGCGAGCAACAGACGCAGGGACTGGGCCAGCCAATACCCTGCAAGCGGTCCCACGAAGTCAGCACAGCAACGCCCTACAAGCTGCACAACTTTGGGAATCTGCTGCAATAGTTGCAGATGCGGATGGTAACTCCATGGACTTCCTCAATCAATATGACACCCCGTTCCACCCCTCAGTGCGAAGACAGGAATAGCGCACCTTGGCGACAGCGTTCGCGGCCTTCACGAGCATCTTGTGCTCCAGTGTCCTGGGCCGGTGCAAAGCACGAAACAATAAACAACGGGCGATGCAAGCAGCGCGCTGTGAAATTTAAGCTGCAATTCGCCCTGGACAACGACCAACTGCAAATATGAGGTTGATCGGCCCTCGCCGATCGGAGATTGTCACGGCGAATCCGCGCCCCCGCTTAGATGGCTGGCTCCAACAATGGGGCCCCGACGCCAGAAGGATGCCCTCCGCAGCCAATCTCTAGGGCATGGGAAGCCAAAAGAAAACGACAATGGAAAAAACAGCTGTCTCGAGGTGAGGGACTGTCTCTCGAGCCGAGCGCGAGCCAAGCATGCGCTGAAAGGCGAATATATTTTTTTGCACCGAGGATATCCGCAGGATGTCTCAAGGATGTCTCAGTTTTCAAAAGGCGGAGATATACCAGTATCCGCCGCCTCGGGAACCTACGTCCTGGGACTCCAGCGGGCGGTGGATATCGATCTATGCTGGTCCGACGGGGCCCGAGTATATCCATACTCGCTTCCTGTCAAGATTCTAGAAGACCCATGCCCCGGGCGGTAGTGATGGATGTGGGGGAACCCGCAAGTACAGATACCGCTACTCCCTGGACCTCTCACGGGGTGCGTTCTGACCAGGATTCCGAAGCGAATCCAGCCGTGGCGACGAGGGCCTCCCAGCAGGCCCCCCAAAAAGGCGAGAACGGGGCAGGGGTACTGGCATGGGCACCCGTTCCTCCTCCGGGGGTAGCTTCCCGCCTCGGACACGCTCACCTCTGGGCAGCAGCGCGCGGCCCAGGCCACCCGATCTCGCGAGACTGGCACCACTGGCCGACTTACCCCCCTGGGAGGGGACACGGGCCGTGCCCTTCGGGTTTCGAGGGGCCCATCCCCAACAGGGGCGGCGGGGTGGTGGAGCTGCGGTGCCAGGGCCCACTGGGGATGGGGATGGGACAGACGATGCCGACGATCTCCTTCGCGCCAGAGCTTGGGGCCCAGAGGAGGGTGCGCAGCCCGATCGCTGCACGAGCGGCCGCGGCAGCCGTCCCGGGCTGCCAGAGCGGACATCCAAGGCGCCGCGCGCGCGCTGGCCCTTCTCGGCTCCCGCGCTTCCCCCCCCCCCCTGCTGCAGCTCCGACAGCCCCGCGGAGACGGGCCTCGCGAGTCATGCCGAGGTCTTGGGGGGTGCGCGGCCCTCCGGGGGGACGTGCCGCGCCTCGGGCGGGGGGATCCGGAGCTCCGCCTGGGCCGCAGGGCGAGGTGAAGGAGGAGGACCAAGACGCCATCGACATCACAGCGACTCCTCGTTGCACAGTCAAGCTTGCATCGTTGCAACCGGCGCCTCACTAGCGTCCTCCTCTCCGCGGTCAGGAATGAGACCGCGCAGACCGCATCATACAGTGACTTCCTCCTTTGCCATTTCCACCTCCTTCCTCTCGTCCTCCTCCTCCTCCTCCTCCTCCTCCTCACCACCACCACCACCATCATCATCATCATCATCAGCATCATCATCCTCCTCCTCCTCATCATCATCATCATCACCACCACCATCCTCATCCTCATCCGCATCCTCATCCTCATCCTCATCATAATCATCAGCATCATCATCATCATCATCATCACCATCAACATCATCATCACGGTCACCATCACCATCATCATGATCACCATCACCATCACCATCACCATCACCATCATCATCATCATCATCATCATCATCATCATCACCATCCCAATCACCATCATCATCATCATCATGGTCAACATCAACATCATCACCATCACCATCACCATCACCATCATCACCATCACCATCATCATCATCATCATCACCACCATCACCATCATCATCATCATCATCATCACCATCACCATCATCATCATCATCACCATCACCATCATCATCACCATCATCATCACCATCACCATCATCATCATCATCATCATCATCACCATCACCATCATCATCATCATCATCACCACCATCACCATCACCATCACCATCACCATCACCATCACCATCACCATCATCATCATCATCATCATCATCATCATCAGCATCATCATCATTCCGTCTCCATCATCCTCCCCCCATCTCGCCGTGACCGACTCTGGACTCATCCTCGCCGTCTCACTGCTTCTGCCTCCGCGTTCCTCCTCCCCCTCCTCCCCCATCCTCCGAGCCCGCCCTGCGGCGGACGCCCGCTCGACGCCTTCTTGCGCTGTCGCGACCCGCCTCCTCCTCCTCCTCCTCCTCCTCCTCCTCCTTCTCCTCCCCTGGGCCTCCTCCGTGCGTCTTGCTCCAGCGTTGCCCTGCCCTCGCGTGGGATAGCACAGTGATGCGCCAGGCCTCTGGCCCCCCCAGCGAGGCTTCTGGGCGCCCCAGTGCCACCTCACTGCAGGCCCCCTCCCTCCGCCCCGCGGCCCCCGCTCCTCCACGCCAGGCTCATCCTCTCGAGCACCAGCGCCGCCTGGCAACGGCGCGCGCTCTCAGGCGCGCGCAGGCGCGCGGGGGAACGAGTCGGGCCCCCGCGGTGTGGGAGGTGGGCGGGCGGTAGCGGCGAAGGACTTCCCCTGTTTTCCCAATCCACCGCAACAGTTCCAAAAGTTCGAATCTAGGAGCTGGTCGCCAGAGTTCGCTGGGCAACATAACCCCACGGCCGGCGACCGCCGTCATGGAGGGGTCTTCGGGAGCACCGTCTCTCCGCAGAGGTTTACCCGGGGAACGAAAAGAAGGGACACAAGCACGAGGCTGAGGGAGACGAGACGAACCGCAAAACACCAGAGGGGGGAAGGGGAGGAGGAGGAGGAGGAGGAGGAGGAGGAGAGTTGATCGAAGATCTGCTCGTGCCGTTCTCCAACGAGTGTTTGTACTGAAGGGCAGCTGACGGAGATAGGTACCATAGACGAATGTGTCCAGCAGATTTCGGTATGCGGCTGTATTTGGGGTTCCAGGGCGCTGAGATTTCGGTAGGTGGTCGGATTTCCAGATTCCCAGGCTCATGAGACTGTGAGGGCGTGGCAAAGGGCCGATATCGGTTAGTCTGGGTTCCAAGGTTTTTAGTTTTCAGGTTCCCGGGTTCTCGCGATCTTGGCTGCGGCCAGCTGGTCCTTGCGAACATGGGCAGGTTGCAGAGCACGGAGTAGGCAGTACATACACATATACAAATTTCAAGCGAGAATCAACGTGTTAGAAAGAGTTGGGCAAGGCAGGGAGAGATAGCAGGTAAACTGGATGCATGATGGAATAACCGAGTGCGGGCGATAATGAAGCCCCCCCTCTTAACCCCGTCTATGTTTAATCCCCGACCACAAGGATTCATGTGTGGGGAAGGCGCGGAGGCCGAAGTTCTAATCCACGGGAAAGTTGCGGCGATCGAAGTTGATATCATATCATGTTGATTGGCATCGGCATCAAAAACGCTGAGCATGGCCATGGTGGTCTCACCACACCAGCTTCCGCAATCACGAGCGTGTGGCAGGGCTGTGGGATTCTCACCAGTTGAGTTTGCCCACGTTACAACCGTGCGGCAGGGCCATGGGATTCTCATGTTCGAAGCCGTTCCCGAGTCACGAACGTGTGGCAGGGCCTTCGGGACCGATTGGATTTTGATTGTGCACCTGGTTTAACCTCCTTCTCCTTCATCATCGTCGTCATCTTCATCTTCATCATCATCATAACGTACACTCCCTTGGAAAATCGTTTATTATCCCCAGCGGGAACCGCGAACTTTATTATCCCAGGGGGTTATCATCGCCCGCAGACGGTTAGATGTACAGATACGAACACAGGCGCACTCAATCACACATACATACACATACAGGACTGCGAATCGGCATATGGATTCGTATGAAGTTGGTTGTACGTATGTATGGGCGTATATGTGTATGTATGCATGCATATATAACTGTATGCATGTAAATAGGCATGCATGCATATATGTATTTAATATGTATGTATTCACTTGGGGCGGCCTTCCGAGCTTCCTGCTCCGGGGCACCGACGATCGGGGGGGTGGGGGCGTTGAGCTTCACCGGAGGAGCCAGACATGGCTAGTCGTTGATTTGGTGTCTCCGGCAGGGGCGCCGCTGCGCCTCGCTTGAACCATCCGCCCTCCCAGGCGCAGATAAGCGTCGCCCGCCCGACACAGCATCAGAATAACCACATCTTCGCCGCACTACCACCTTCACCCAGAAGGTGCGACGCCCTCCCCAGGAGGGAAGGCGAACGACTGCGAGGGGCAGCTGGCGACCGATGCACACGTGTGATGGGCCGATTTTCCACCACCACTACCACAGGTAGGAGAGGGAGGAGGAGGAGGAGGAGGAGGAGGAGGAGGAGGAGGAGGAGGAGGAGGAGGAGGAGGAGGAGAGGGAGGATGAGGAGGAGTAGGAGGAGGAGGAGAGAGGCGGAGCAGGAGGAGGAGGAGAAGGGGATGAGGAGGAGTAGGAGGAGGAGAGGAGGAGAGGCGGGGAGGAGGAGGAGGAGAGGAGGAGAGAAGGAGAGAGGAAGGAGGAGGAGGAGGAGGAGGAGGAGGGGGAGGAGGAGGAGGCGGAGGCGGAGGAAAACCTGCCCATCCTCCCTTCCCCCCCGTCCTCCCTAATGGTAGTGGCGGTGGAAAAGCAGACCGTCACCGTCAGCAGCGGTGCGCCGTGGGCCCAAACCTCGCCGCGGCGCGCGGCGTGCCGTGGCGCCCGCCCTGCGCGGCGGGCGCGCAAGGGGCGGCCAGGCGCCCCCCAGCGGCGCGCGCCCGCCTTGGGGTGCTTCAGCCGCAGCCTGCTCATCGCCTGGAGGAAGTAGAAGCATTGCTGAGGCTTCAGCTCCTGGAGGGAGGGAGGGAGGGAGGGAGGGGTGACAACTCAGAAAGAGCGGCGGGTGGGGGGAAGGCCAAGGCAACTTGCAACTGCATGGCCGCCTGCAGAGGCCAGGAGGCAGCAGCGCACGGAAGCATACCGAGGAAAGAAACGTGAGGGAGCAGAGATGGAGAAGTCAAGAAAGAGAATTGGGGACCGATGGGAAGAGACAGCGAATTGCCATGTATGGTCTAGGGCTTGCAGCAGTTGGCGTCAGGCCGGTACTAAACCATCGGCCATCCTGTGGAGTTCCCCGCACAACCCCGTGCTCGCACCGCGAGCACTTTCGGAACCCAGCCTGAAAGGGGATGACGAGGACGCCATGTTTTCTGGCGAGGGATCCCGAACTTCGACGATCAACCACCCCAGCCAGTCCCATAGGGCATGCGGCGTCGGGCGCTGCGCTTCCCCTCGATCTGTTGCGATGGGTTCCGTTGCAGGGCTTCGGCGAAAGTCGCTTCGCTCTGGAGGTACGCTAAGACACACCGTAGCCAATCTACCGACCTGGTTGACAGGAAGCCGCTGTCGTGAAAGTCGGCCACCGATAGATCAATGAGGTGGCTTTCTGTGGCAACTCATGGAGGCCTCCTAAATCGCCTTGTGAGCCCCTGTGAATCGACGCAAATCGACGCGAATCGACGCTCATCGAGGCTGGTCGACGCTAAACCTGCGCGATCTCATCGATTACCAAGCTCTGAACGCAATGCTCCCATGATGTGCTAAGGAGCATGCCAGGAAGAAGCGGAGCCGCGCCGTCGCCGCTGCCCCTTCAAGAGGGGGAAAGCGCCGAGGCCAGAAGCAACTGGGCACCAGGAGGCACTCCTTGAGGGGGCTGGGCAGGGCTACGGCAGGGAATCGTGTTGCGCCAATCGTTTATCGGGCCGGGCGGAAGGGGGGATAGCAAAGGGTGGGTTTGAGAATCAGCTCACGTAGCTGATTTTCCTGGCGCCTCCCGGCGCCGGGAGGCGGCCATGTATCGAGGAATGGGACCCTCGATGGGGCCGAAACCAGCTGCATGCAGCAAATTTCGTACCCCCCCCCCTTTCCCTATCCCCCCCTTTCGTCCGGCCCGAGTTTAGGAAAACGAGCTCTAAACATCGATGATTTTGCCGGACCTGCACTGCAACTTGCGCAAAAAAGCGGATCATGGTGTATACGAGATCCTGGTGTATACGTTCTTCGGTGCTTCCCCGGGAAGACGGGGACAAACATTATACACCATACCACCCCGACGTCGTCCCCAGAAAGTCCTGGGATTGAGAGGTAGCCCGCCACTGGTAATGTAGATGCTCAAGTTTCAGATAGTTGCGACGAGGACACGTCAAGACGTCCTCCACTGTTGTAGCAGAGTGCTACAAGACCAGCAGCATCTACGAAGCCTTTCAAGCGCACACGAGGGCATATAACACATAGGCAGATGAAACACCGCGCATATATACTAAGGCACCTGGGCCCCGTTCCAGGGGGCTTCACAGAAAAACCATGGGACAACGTATATAGTTAAAACAATATGGCCAGTTCTCTGGGCGACATGTGTTGCACAGCAAGTGTGCATCGCGATTGGGCCGCCATCTGCCACCAAGTGGAGGACAAGCATAACATAATCACTATAGTGGGCAGATTCCTGGCCCCGACGAGAGGGAGATGCGCATGGGCGACGACCACCACACGCGGTGCAGCTCGCACCCCGCCCTAGCCTGGTCACAAGCACTCGGCGGTGCTCGCCCCTGCACTCTCCTCCGATCTGCCGCACCACTGCTCGCCATCGCTCGGACGTCCATTCCCCATGCCGTTTTCGTCATCGATCAACTGCTTTTGTTCGCAAGGCGGTCCGAGATGTTCCTCGATGGACCTCGCCGAATAATAATGCAAAGTACGAACTACGCCAAGACTGGGGGTACCAACGTGCACCCGTACCGCTACACCGCGGACCTCTCCTGGGGTGCGGTCTGAGCCACCGAGGACCCACGCAGCCGTCAGAACGCGCAAGGGCTTGCTTCACGACGCGGGCATGTCTGGGGGGTGCACGGTCAGGACATCCGGCTGAGCGTGTCGCTCTCTGCTTGCCCACCGCGCGTGCGGACCGCCTCTGCTGCGCTGCGACGGAAAAAAAAGTGTCGCTCCGCAGGTTCTGGCCCGCCACGCTTCGGCGCGACAGGCTCTCCAGGTCGCGGCCTCCCGGCGCCAGAGTTCCGCATCCTCCCGGGCCTTCCCCCCCACAGACTGCTTCTGCAGCGGAGGGGAAAACGACCCGCGCTGTCCGCTCGCCGGGCATCGCGTGCCGCGCCAGCCGCCGCGGCGACACGCCGAGCAACAGTTCCTGACAGCACACGTCTTACCAGCCTGGAACATATCCCTATCCCTATGCTGGGCACCTCCTCATCACGACGCCAATCTTAGGGATTCCCTTGTTTTTTGAGGGCGAATCCCTAAGATTGTCATCGCCTTTTGCCGTGCCAATCTTAGGGATAGGGATACGTTCGAGGCTGGTAAACGTCGCGTCCGGCCGAGGCGGCGGGTCCTGCAGGTGCTCGAGGACGCGCGTGACCAGCACCAGCAGGGCGCTGTAGGGCCCCGCCTGCACGTGCCCGACGGCCTGCAGGAAGCGCAGCGCCGTGCAGTTGCTGCAGCGCCTCGGGCTCGCAGGCAGACCGCGGGCTCGGCACGTGTGAAGGGGCCCCAGGACATACAAATAAATGCGCACAAAGAAAAATATGCTCCCATATTTTCTGGGTTTCTGTCTTCCCCCCCACTTCCCATATTCTCCCATATTTTCTGGAGAATCGGGGATTAATTGTGTCTGCGTGTTTCTTTTCCTCCTGAACGTGTGGGGGCGGGGTGCGCAGCCATGTCCACTGCAGCTTGGCGTTTCGGGTGCCCCTGCCCACGAACCCGAGGCGCCGTGGATGTGGGCAGCCATCGTGCCCCCCATGCAGGCTAGATTTCTATCCATCCACGGCCACTGCGCCTCTGCCTTTTGGAGCTCCTTGCCGACACAATCCAGGACGCCAGGGAAACGGACAGGTGTGGTCCTAGACCCAGATATCATAATAATCTTGTAGCCGGCAGGAAAAATCCGAGGCGCGGAACAATTTCTAAGACACGCTCGCAAGGAAGTTTGCAAGAAGGCCTGGGCAGCTTGCGAGCTTGAAATAGGAGTTGCGAGCGAGCCTGGGGAACGCTGTCGAGGACCTGGGCACAGGCTCGCGGCACATGTAGTGGGAATCTGTAGGAAAGCGTTTCCGGGACACGCTGCCGGCCAGTAACCTGCTGATGCCTGCAGTTCCGGGACACGCAGATGCCTGACCGGCAGCCGGGGAGCTGAAGCTGGCCTACCCTTGCCTGCAGGCTTCTAATCTGGAGCCCTCTTCGCTCTCCAAATAGCTACCCGGGAATCTCGAAGGCAAGGCTTGGGAAACTTACAAACTTGCGAAGGAATCCTTGACATGAAGCTTGTAAAGGTACACGGGAAGCCTGCAAGGAATGCTTCCGAGCGCTTCCCAGGCAGCCCTAGAAAACTTGGGCTCATTAACTTGGCCATGAAACTGTTGCTGTCAAAGGTCACGGGCCATAACGGAAAAATCATTTGGATGAAAGGTAAGTGCGCATGGAATATGTGTACAACATTTCATCAACATACATGCTTTACGAAGCGAGATACAACACTGTACATTTTCATCGCGCTGCGCAAAAGGCTTCCGGCACACGTATCCAGAATGAATAGAACAACGTTTCTGGATCTCGCTGCAACTTCAAGCAAATCATTGCGGAAATGCCTGGCCCGCAGGCGTGGAGAGAAAAGTGGTATGCTCATGTCTTCGGGCTTCTTCTCTGTAGCCCTGTCAGCCCTCCAAGATCCGATCTGGGAGTATGACTCGCGCCTGCATCTCGCACCCCAAACCCGGACCTCCGACGATTTTTATAATCTAGGCGTCTTGCCTCGACTCCGGCCCCTGGGGGCCGCTATCGAGCCCCGGGGGCATCAACGATGGCTCTGGGGCGACGAGCTGGCCCAGGGAAAGTTCGGGAACGCTGGGGCCGCGGGTGGAACAGATCTTGTCGGAGGATGTCTGGGAAGCTCGGCCGCCTGACTTCGCGCACTGCGCCCGGCGATGACTGACGCGCCGTCGTCTTCGCGCCGTCGCCGTCGCCGTCGCCGTCCCTGTCTTGCCGCCGCCGTCAGGAAGGTCGACGAAAGCGGAGGAGGTAACTCGATGCGGACCTCGGCTGGCACGCGATTCGTGCAGCCACCCGTCGGAAACATGTTAGCCAGCGTGGACCCTCAAAAATATGTTTCTAGCAGCATGTGTTGCGCAACCTATGCGTTGCAGTCGACGTCATGCATATCTACAGATGTGGAACAAACGACTTTCACTTCCTCCCGCGCGACCGCCTCCCAAACTTGCGCACTCATCCCACCCACCCACCCGCAACGTGGTTTGCAAAACCCATGCGGCGGCGATTACGCTGGCTGCTCGGCGCTGGCTGGTGCATCTCTGCGGTCGCGCAAGCACGCGCAGGCTCGCGCGCAGAGCGGCCAGCTAGTCTGGCGCGGCCGACGCAACCGGTGTGGCGCTGACCGCTGGGAAATCACCAGTGCGTCTCGCAGGTCGCTGACGCGCGGGCACATCACTGCGAGTCGGTGACAGGGGGGGGGCGTGGAATCATGGCGACGTTGAAAATTGCAGACATGAGGAGGTCAGTAGCGATGTTGGTGACGATTCTGACAGTGGCGACAACAAGGCCATTCACGGCACTGATGCTGATCACGCCGATGGCGGTAATGGTGTCCGTCGGTGATGCAAGTTGTAGAAAGATTTCGACATGCGAGTGCGGTCGACGCGCGCGAGTGGCCCGAATTGTATTACGTGGGTGCCCCCGACAGCACGCGCGCAAGGTCGTCCGAATGATCTCAGCATGCGCCCGCGAGAGGCACGTTTGGTGGCATGAGTGGAACACGTGGAAACAAGCACCGGGCGTCTTTAGTTCTTACAAGAGCGCGAGCGCCTGTCTGATGCGAAGCCACTGGCCTTTGATACATGTCTGGGGCGTTTGATCTTGAAATTCTTCTGGCACTCTAGATGTTTGAAGAATTTATGCATGCGGGCAGAGGTCTTGCGACAGCACGCGGCTCCTAGGAGGCCCAGCGGAGGTGGGTCCCACGCGGATCACCTCGAGACCTCGCGGTGCGCTGGGGGCTGCGATCTTTGAAACTGTGGCTCTTTCGTGGGCTCCTGGGAGGCCCAGCGGGGGTGGGTCCCACGCGGATCACCTCGAGACCTCGCGGTGCCCTGGGGGCTGCGATCTGAGCAACTGTCGCCACTTTCGTGGGTTCCTGGGAGAGGCCCAGCGGAGGTGGGTCCCACGCGGATCACCTCGAGACCTCGCGGTGCCCTGGGGGCTGCGATCTGCGCATCTGTCGCCACATTCGTGGGCTCCTGGGATGCCCAGCGGAGGTGGGTCCCACGCGGATCGCCTCGAGACCTCGCGGTGCCCTGGGGGCTGTGATCTGCGCAACTGTCGCCACTTTCGTGGGCTCCTGGGAGGCCCAGCGGAGGTGGGTCCCGCGCGGATCACCTTGAGACCTCGCCGGCCCCTGGGGGCTTGCGATCTGCGCAACTGTCGCCACTTTCGTGGGCTCCTGGGAGGCCCAGCGGGGGTCGGTCCCACGCGGACCGCCTCGAGACCTCGCGGTACCCTGGACAGCTTGCGATCTGCGCATCTGTCGCCACTTTCGTGGGCTCCTGGGAGGCCCAGCGGAGGTGGGTCCCACGCGGATCGCCTTGAGACCTCGCCGTGCCGTGGGGGCTGCGATCTGCGCAACTGTCGCCACTTTCGTGGGCTCCTGGGAGGCCCAGCGGAGGTACGTCCAACGCGGACCACCTCGAGACCTCGCGGTGCCCTGGGGGGGCTTGCGATCTGCACAACTGTCGCCACTTTCGCGGGCTCCTGGGAGGCCCAGCGGAGGTGGGTCCCACGCGGATCACCTCGAGACCTCGCGGTTACCTGGGGGCTGCGATCTGCGCAACTGTCGCCACTTTCGTGGGCTCCTGGGAGGCCCAGCGGGGGTGGGTCCCACGCGGATCGCCTCGAGACCTCGCGGTGCCCTGGGGGCTGCGATCTGCGCATCTGTCGCCACTTTCGTGGGCTCCTGGGAGGCCCAGCGGGGGTGGGTCCCACGCGGATCGCCTAGAGACCTCGCGGTGCCCTGGGGGCTTGCGATTTGTGCAAATGTTGCCACTGTCCTGAGCTCCTGGGAGGCCCAGCGGAGGTGGGTCCCACGCGGACCACCTCGAGACCTCGCCGTGCCGTGGGGGCTGCGATCTGCGCAACTGTCGCCACTTCCGTGGGCTCCTGGGAGGCCCAGCGGAGGTGGGTCCCACGCGGATCACCTCGGGACCTCGTCGCCCTGGGGGCTTGCGATCTGCGCAACCGTTGCCGCTTTCGTGGGCTCCTGGGAGGCCCAGCGGAGGTGGGTCCCACGCGGACCACCTCGAACCTCACCGCCCCCGGGGGGCTTGCGATTTGCGCAACCGTCGCCACTTTCGTGGGCTCCTGGGAGGCCCAGCGGAGGTACGTCACACGCGGATCACCTCGAGACCTCGCCGCCCCCTGGTGGGCTGCGTTCTGCGCAACTGTCGCCACATTCGTGGGCTCCTGGGAGGCCCAGCGGAGGTACGTCCCACGCGGACCACCTCGAGACCTCGCCGCCCCCTGGGGGGCTTGCGATCTGTGCAACTGTTGCCATTCTCGTGGGCTCCTGGGAGGCCCAGCGGAGGTACGTCCCACGCGGACCACCTCGAGACCTCGCCGCCCCCTGGACAGCTTGCGATCTGCGCATCTGTCGCCACTTTCGTGGGCTCCTGGGAGGCCCAGCGGAGGTACGTCCAACGCGGACCACCTCGAGACCTCGCCGCCCCCTGGGGGGCTTGCGATCTGTGCAACTGTTGCCGCTTTCATGGGCTCCTGGGAGGCCCAGCGGAGGTGGGTCCCACGTGGATCGCCTCGGGACCTCGCCGCCCCCTGGGAGGCTTGCGATCTGCGCAACTGTCGCCACTGTCGTGGGCTCCTGGGAGGCCCAACGGAGGTACGTCCCACGTGGATCACTCGGAGGTACGTCATACGCGTTTCTTTCAACGCCCCTGTGTTTCCATGTTGTATATTTGCCGTTACTCTTCTTGCTGCGCTCTTGTCAAATCTCTGCTGGGTGCTCTTCTTGCGCACTGCGGGTCCTTCAGAATGCCAGTCAGCATTGAGTGGTCCTGAGTAGAATCGCTTCCTGTAGAGGGAATTGCCCGACTGAACGCCGGCCCATATTGCCTCGTCGCTGTCGTTTATCGGGGTGTTGTTGTCACTACGGAGCCGTTGGGCGGCTGCCATTTTTCGGTGGCGGCGTGTGGTGGGTCAGAGGCCTCATGGATGTTGATTGAGCTCTCGTGGTTGGCCTCTCGGGGGCCTCTGGGGGGCAGTTTTGAGGCCTCTTGGGGGCCGTGTTGAGGCCTCTTGGGGCCTCTTGGGGGCCTGGCCTCTTGGGGTGTCTTGGGGTGCCTCTTGGGGGCCCCTTGGGGCCTCTCGGGGGCCGCTTGGGGCCCTCTTGGTGCCTCCTGGGAGCCTCTTAGGGCTGAAGGCTGGACTTTTCGGTTCCTGGCCCCCTTCTTGGGCCCCTCTTGGAGCCGTTTCGGGGCCCTCTTGGGCCGTCTTGGGGCCCTCTTGGGCTCTCTTGAGCCGTCCGGGTACGATGTTGGAGGCCTCTGGGACAGTTCTCGACGCTGTGAACCCCCGAACGTCGCACATGCGAAAAAAGTGCGTTTCCCGACGGGAATGGCAAAATGTTGGGGCCCTCTTGGAGAGCCTCTTGGGTTTTTTTCGCTGCCTCTGGGGCCATCTGGAGACCATCTTGAGCATCTTGCGGCGACTCGGGGCCTGGCCGTGTGGCGGGCGCCCCAGCGCCCTCGTGGCGCGCTCCTGGAAGGCCCTTGGGGAGTCGGCCGGGCATCGGCAGGGCATCGGCCGGGCATCGCCAGGGGTACTTTTTGTCCGGGAGTCCCCAGGGGCCGCCACGCGCGCGCGAACTAGAACTATTGTTAACCTGTCACCGGAGATCTTAGCACGCCTCTGGCTTGTTGGGCTGGCGAGTTTCGCGCTGTAGAGGGCTCCGAAAAAGTTCCAAGAGGTCCCCAGGAGGGACCAGAGAGAGTTCCAAGGAGGTGCCGAGAAGGCTCCGATCATCGTCATACCAGGATCCTCTGGTATGGTACTGTGGGGATCTGTTTGAGGGGCACTCTTATGCCCCCTTGGGGCTCTTTCGGACCCTCGTCGTAGCCGGGGCTGGAACCGAAAGCACTGCTGCGTCAAGTCCGGCTGCGGCGAAAATGGAGATGATGGGGGAGGAAACATCAGCAGCCATATCAGTTCTTGGGCCCAAGAGCATCATAATGCACTGGGGGCATAAGAACTTTTCGCCTCGAGCGGCATCGAATCAAACCGATGCGTTAGAACACAACCGTCTCAGCCAGATATGGTCTGAGAACGATTCGCGGAAGCCACGGAAGATTCGCAGAGCTTCCTTTGGTGGACCCATGGGCAAGCCAAGACGCTACCAGACTGCTGGAGGACGCGGCGTGTGATCCGTGGGCTCGTCGAGGCTTTCGAGCGCAGACGTGCCCAGCCAACGCGCGACTCGCGCGGCCATCCCTCCCAGGCAAAGTGACACGTTCAGGATCGTTTGCTTAGCGCATCGCGGCGGGGGCCCTGGCGACACGCTACGCTTAGGTCGAGCATGACTCCCTACAGGCGGATTTTGGAAGAACAAAAAATAAAACATGGATCCAATTTTTTTATAGTCAATCATAAATTGTCGGAAAGTCGTTGCCTGACTATGTTCTACTATTCTTGAATACTCCTCCTGTAGAGGGACATGCCCGACTTACCCCTACGCCTTGCACGCGGATCGCCGCTAAGCGGGGCGGATGGCTTGGCAAAGCTCGGGAAGGCGACGCATGGGAGTGGGGACGTGGAGAGCGCGTCGCGCCGCAGCGTAGGGGGCCAGAACAGGCAGAGCGACACGCTAAACATCCGAGACCAATGCTCCCTGGACCTCTCCAAGGATGCGTTCTGACCCGAGTGTCGAGGCGAATCCAGCCGTGGCGACGAGGGCCTCTCAGGAGGGAATCCAGCCGTGGCGACGAGGGCCTCTCAGGAGGCCCAAAAAGGCGGAAAAACGAGGTGAGGGTAGCGTTATATAGGTGGCCACATGTGAACCCTAACCCCACCCCCAAAGATTTCAAAAGGGGTTGGGGTTTACTCCGCTCTGGAGCTCCTGGACGAAGTGAACCCAAACCCACTCGTTAAACATCGTGGGGGGTGGGGGTAGGGTTCGCACGTGGCCACCGAGAGATATCGGTTCCTCTTCCTTGCCTGACAAGGGCCAAGCCGGCGCGAGATTTGCGCGGCCATCCCTCAGAAGCAAAAGTGATGAGCCTTGGGCGCAATGCCCAGCCGGCGCCTCATCCGCGCGGCCATCCCTCAGGAAGCGAACGTGATGAGCCTTGGGCGCAGGGCCCAGCCGGCGCCTCATCCGCGCGGCCATCCCTCAGAGGAAGAGTGCCCAGACATGCGCGTCTTGACTTCTGTTGCACGGGGTCCCTGGAAGCCCCGACCCTTTCCACAGGGCCGGTCTTTCGCCCCGAGTCGCTGTTGGACGGTCCCAGGGCACGGCGGGGGCGGCCAAACACTTCCCGTCGTGGCACGACGCGAACATGTCGGACTTGGTCTCCGGCGCCCGCTCGGGGCGATCTGGGCTGGGCACCCCCGGAACGCTCTCGGCGAGGCGCAGCTGCTGGAAGACATCCCGAGGCCAGAAGTCCGCCGAGAACCCGCGAACCCCGAGACCGCAAGTGAAGCCCGGGGCCCTCACATGAATACACACAAAAATAAAAGGATTCCCCATATCTTCCCATATTTCCTAGATGCTCGTCATCCCCCCCCCCACTTCCCATATGTTCCCAGGTCTTTGGGGGAATCGACGATTCAGTGTGCCTGTGTGCTTCTTCCCCCTCCTGAACATACAACAAGGCTAGGATCGGGATAAATCGCTCCAGAGCGTTCCGGAGCGCTCTCAGAGCGTTCCAGAGCGCTCCCAGAGCGTTCCGGAACGCCCTGGAGCGGCCGCGGCGCCCAACACATCCTCCCAACCCGCCGAGTCTCAGAGATTTCGAGGCATCCCGATCCGATGTTGTCCCGATCTTCGCGTCGTTTTAGGGCCAGCCCCCGGGCGCCGCGGGCGCCACGCGGGGGGCGCAGCGGGCGCGCCGGCCCGCGGGCGCCATAGGGCCGGGCGCGGCGTGGGGCGGAGCGTGCCGAGGCGGGCCCGGGGGCTCTCCGCGCGAGGGCGGCGCAGGGCGCCCGGGGAGGAGGCGAGCGGCGCAGGGCAAGGCAGCAGCCAAGCTCGGCCAGGAGAACACTCCTCCACCTCCTCCTCCACTCCTCCTCCTCCTCCTCCTCGCTCCTCCTCCTCCTCCTCCTCCTCCTCCTCCTCTCCTCCTCCTCACTCCTCCTCCCTCTCTCCTCCTCCTCCTCCTCCTCCTCCTCCTCCTCCTCCTCCTCCTACTCCTCCTCCTCCTCCTCCTCCTCCTCCTCCTCCTCCTCCTCCTCCTGTTCCTCCTCCTGTTGCTCCCTCTCCCCCTCCTCCTCCTCCTCCTGCTCCTCCTCCTCCTCCTCCTCCTCCTCCTCCTCCTCCTCCTCCTGCTCCTCCTCCTCCTCCTGCAACTCCTCCTCCTCCTCCTCCTCCTCCTCCTCCTCCTCCTCCTCCTCCTCCTCCTGCTCCTCCTCCTCCTCCTCCTCCTCCTCCTCCTCCTCCTCCTCCTCCCCCTCCTCTCGAGCAAGCAGCAGTCAAACTCGGCCGACTGATCACGGCCAGGCTGGCCGAGTTCCGCCGGTCCGAGTCTCACCTGGCCGAGTCTTGCCCTTGTCGTCGGGCCTGTGGGCCCAGCTCAGCGAGGAGAGCATCGGGCTCGGATCGGCGACGGCGAGGGGCCCACGGCGGAAGAAGCGCGCGGGGCTGAGGGGTGACGGCGGGGGGTTTGGGCCCAGCTCAGGGAGGAGAGCATCGGGCTCAGATCGGCCATGCATCGCCGATAGATCGGCGAGAGGCCCGCGGTGGATGGAGCGCAGGGCTAAGAGGACCCGCTGGGGTGGCCAGCTCAGGGAGGAGGACATCGGGCTCGGATCAGAGAGGCATCGCCGACGGATCGGCGACAGGCCCGCGGTGGCGGTGCCGCAGGGTCCCACGTGTCTGCGATGAGTGGGCATTTCGGGGTCGATGTGTTCCACGCAGTGAATGTGTGTTGTCCGTGCGAGTGTGTGTGTGTGTGTGTGCTCACCTGACATGAAATCCGCCGCGCCTCCGCGCGCATGGCCGCGACGCCCAACAAAAATGTGCAAGTATATATGTGCACTATGCCAGGCGGACACTCGCCTCGTTGCCCGGCTTAGTTTTTGGCGACGGTGTCATCACCTCGCCAGTCGAAGAAAACAAACATGTGTGCACGTGTTTGCGCGCTCCGTAAGCGACTGCCAGCATCCGGCCCACCCGTCTGCTACGCTACGTGGAATTCGCCTCAGCGTAACCGAGCTTGGCGTATCGCGACGGTGTCGTCGCCTCGCTGCTCCAAAGAGACAACCCATGCATGTGAACGAACCTCCCGAGCCTGTCCGCGAGAGCCCGCGAAGGCCGACGGATCGCCAGCGGCACGCGTCCCCGACGGGAGCAAAAGACTGGGCGCGGCGCTGCAGCAGCTTCTGCTTGGGGTGGTCCGGCACGGCCAGCTCCCGGCCTTTCGCCAGCTCGGCGGCCCGGTGCCCGAACGCCATCCAAACCTCCTCGGCGCGCGCTGTCGCTGCTCGACGCCGCCGCCGCTGCGGCCACCCTTGTCGTCGTCGCCGCCGTCGTCGGTGCCACCGCCGCCGCCGCCGCCCTCGTCGTCGTCGTCGTCGTCGTCGCGATCGTCGTCGTCGTCGTCGTCGTCCTCGTCGTCGTCCTCGTCGTCGTCAAAATCGCCGCCGTCCTCGTCGTCGTCGTCGTCGCCTTCGGCGTCGTCGTCGTCGTCGTCGTCGCCGCTACCGCCGCCGCCGTCATCGATGCGACGCAAAACCCCTAAATCACGACGGCGTCTAAAGGGGGTTGTTTCCATTGCCCTGGGAACAACACCGATCTGACCGCGCAACGCACAGCGCTGACGACGAGGACGACGGGAGGCCCAGAGTTCCTTTGGCTCACGCCCTGAACAAAAACTACAGCGTCAGATGTCCCAGGCCTCAACGTGGACCCCTGAATAGAGAGCAAAAGATCCACCCTAAAAATTCGCCGGCCCAGCAGGCCAGAGGCGTGCTGAGATCACCGGCGACAGGTCCAAATATATGTCTAATTTGCGCGCGCGTGGCGGCCCCTGGGGACCCCTGGGCGAAAAGTACCCCAGGCGACGCCCGGGCGATGCTCGGGTGATGTCCGGGCGATGCCTGCTCTCCAAGAGGGCCCCAACACACAAAACTCGTCCCAATCCTTTCGGACACGGTACATTTTTCGCATGCGCGAAGTTCGGGGGTTCACAGCGTCCACAGCTGCCCCAGAGGCTTCCAACATCGTCCTCCGACAGCCCAACACGCTCCCAAGATGGGCCCAAGAGATCCTAAGAGGACCCCAAGGCAGCCCAAGAGGGCACCAAGAGGCGCCCGAAACGGCCCAAGAAGGCCCGAAAACGGCCCCAAGAGGGGGCCAAGAAGAGGAACCGTGAGGCCATGAGGAGGCACCAAGAGGACACCAAGAGGCCCCAAGGGGCCCCCAGGGGGCCCCCAAAAGGCACCTGAAGACGACCCAAGAGGCCCCCCAGAGGCCCAAAGAGGCCCCAACACGGCCCCCAAGAGTCTTCAAACCTGCCTCCTGGAGGCCACCAAGAGGCCAACCACGAACGCCCAACCAACATCCATGAGGCCTCCGACCCACCACACAGGCACGGTGGCGGGATGGGGCGAAGGCCAATAGATAATCAACCACCCCGCCCGGCAGCGCCGCATTGACAACGATCACTCGGGCAATTGGCAGTCAAGTGGCACTCGTCGAACGATCGGTCCGAGACACCCACGATGGCTTCGAGACGGCCCCCGACGCGTACAAGACCCCTGACAGCCTATCTGCGTGTGCCCACCCCCTGGGGGACAGAGCCCGCAGTAGGATTCGGGATGCCCCCCGAGAGACGCGCGCGCTTTGAGGGTAGCGCACAGAAAGGCTAGAGGTGGAGAGATGCGGGCGTCGCCACCGACATGGCCTGCAACATCTTCACACCACCAAGAGGCCTCCCAAGAGAGCCCCAAGAGGCACACCCCGACAAACGACAGCGGCGAGGCTACATGGGCCGGCGGAGTGAGCGAAGCAATTAAAGAAACAGCCCGGCAAGCGAAGCCTTTCAGCAAATGCACCCAGAAGAAGAATCGAACATTGCAAGGCTGTCCTGTAAACACCCATGGCCGTTTGGCAAACGCCAATTACTATCGGGGCCAGGTGGTGCTTCCTCCCTTGACAAAATCAACAACGTGCGGGGAATTCACATAAACTTTGACGCTTCGCGCGGATTTCGTGGATCCGCGCTGGACCCCTCGTCCCTGGCGCGGGCAGCGCCCCAGAGGCGCCAGAGTCGCCGCCAGGGGGGCCCATCGCAGATCCAAGACATCCGCGCGGACACTCGCACGTTTACATGCAGTTTTGTGCCCTTCAACTGACGGATGGCCTCGACCCCATCCCCGAGGGCCCAGTTAATACAGTAGGGGCCCGACCACAAGACCCAGGACGTCCATTGAATTTTGCTGTGGGAGCGTCACTCTTCCCATGGCAGGCACATCGAAACCCAAGACATCCAGGGCACCCTGGAGGCCCTCAGGGTGCTTCTTGGCATGGGCCTCCGCTGCACTCCTCCCGGATCGGCTCTTGACGGTCCCGGGGGCGCAGCGAAAGCCCGCGGACGCCGATGATGCAGCCAGCCCTGTGGGCGTCGCTGGTGCAGGGCGCCTCCTCTTCCAGCCGCCTCTTCGCCCTGCCAGGGAGGGGCCTGCGCTCAGCTCCTCGAGGGCTGCCGCAGACGCCCCTGCCCCGGAGTTACAAGCATGTGGACTGTAGACCTCCCGGGAGCCCCCCGACGGCGAAAGAGCAGCCAGGACGCCGCGTGGTGCGCGCGGCTCGCAGGCTGCACCCTGCCAGCCCACAGGAGGTTCGGCGCACAGCGCCTTGGCAACCAGGGCAAGGGCGCCTGCCACGCCCTTCACTACTGACAAACACTCCCTCCCCCCATTTGGCCAGCCGCCAGTCTTGAACAACAGGGCGCCCCACCACCCCTGAGATCGGCGGCGAGCCTGGGGGGGGCAGTGAGAAGGACCGGGCCTTCCCAGAAGGATCGGAAGTCCCCCGGCCTTTTGAACAGTTTTCTGAGCATTCCCCGAAGACACAGAAAACCACTCAAAGGGCCGGAGGCCTCCTGAGAGCCCCACCGCCTTCTGAGAAGGCCTTTCTCCTTCTCACTTCCTCCCCTCGCTCGCCGCTGAGAGGAACAGGCTGCGGGGCGGCTGCAATACGCAAGGCAGGAGCAGTCAGCATCGCATTGGGAAATCGGATAGGAGCGGTCGCCGCCAAGGAGAACAAACAATCCAATAGTGCACGTGGCGGACAAAGCTTCATCGTCGGCGGATGTCCCGCAAGTGCCCTACATTGTCTTTTGCCAGGGGTGGCGCTCGGGTGAGCATGGATCTATCCGCTGCGCGCTCACCCACTGCCCATGAACCCCAATTGCGCTTGACTCGGATTCTGGGGCTGATGACACGTGTCCGACGGATGCTGTCACGCGCACTGGCGCTCCGGGCCCGGGCGCTCTCCGCGCGCGTCGCACACGTGGCACGCCTGGCGCGGCTGGAGCACGTGGCACTGTGGCGCACGTGGAGCACGTGGCGTAGATGACGCACTAGGCAATGAGGGCGCCTGGTACGCCTGGGCAGCTGGGGCACCTGGCGCACCCGGTGCGCGCTGCGCACCTGGCACGCGTGGCGCAACTGGCACGCGCGGCGCACCTCTCGAGCGCATATCCCTCGGAGTCTGCGTGGATTCCCAGGCTGCCGAAGGGGGAAAGGCGGGTGGGAGTGAGCGCGAGGGCCTGTGGCGATCCCGTTTTGATACTTCACCTCCCTCAACACCCTCTACTACTACTTCGGGTCTGGACGGAGGCGCGCCGCGGGGGGGGTGGGGGGGGCGAGGCGAGGTGCAGAGCTCCACGAGATGCCACAACGCCACTAACCCCCTACAATGACACAAATTTTGCCTTGTGACCGCTTCGCTTCCGAGTGGCCTCGGAGGCCTCAAAACGGCTCCAAGACTGTCCCACGAGAGCCGCAAGTGAGGCCCAGGAGGGTGGACCCCCCTGCTCCTGGACGGGGTGGGCTACTGGGCCGCCATGTTGGCAATGACTGGGCGATTTGGGGTCGACGGTCTACCATTGGGCCAATTCCCCCCCGTTGCTTTCGGGCCAAAGCTTGGCCCTACGGCAGCCATTCAGGAGGAGCTGGGACCCCCCAGGCCGCTCTCGGCCAGGCGCAGCTGCGGGAACGCACCAAGAAAAAGGGAAAATCGCCGAGAAGTGCGGAACATGGCGGATGAACCGCGAACCTCGATTCCGAGAAAGTCGTCCCCCCCCCTGAGCCTTTCCCCACCCTCGGTTTAGCGTGTCATGGCTGGGGCCTCGGCGACACGCTGCCCTGCGCGGGAGGCTTCGAAAGGCTCGGGGCGTTGACGCCGTGGGACTGGGACGCGGCTAGCGTGTCGCACCGCAGCGTGGGGCCAGAACCGGCAGCGCGACGCGCTAAGCAAAGGTTCATGAACGAACCCGTCTTGGACAGAGCCTCCCGCCTCCCTCCTCCCGCCTCCCTCCTCCCTCGAGGCTGGGGGATTGTGGCGGCCCTCGCTGTTTTGAGTGTTTTTGCTTACCGTGTGGTCGTGATTTGCTCGTTCTCTTTATCGTGGTATTGTTCTGCTCTTCTTCTCCATCTCTCTCTCTCTCTTTCTCTCTCTCTTCGCCAGCCTCTTCACCAAAAATGCCCCCCCCCCCCCCCCCCCGCGAGCACAGTCCTCGGAACTCCAGCCCTGTGCCACACGGCATGGGGCTGGACTGGAAGTTCGCCAGAGGAGTTTTGAATAGCTTTCAGCCTTGTCTGCTCCGTTATCATTAGATTTCCTCTCTCGCTCGCTTTCTCCCTTTGCTTTTTTTGTCTCTCTATCTCTCTCACATACACATTATACGCACCTCATTCCTGAAGCATCACAAATGATTCCTGTGAACAGCAAGCCGCACATATTCTGTCCTCGCAGCAGGAATCCGCTGCGAATCATTACCAAGGGACTCCATCGCAAAGCCTCATAACCGGAGCTGTTTGGACGCATCACATGAGGAAACCTTGAAACAACACAAAATGTGCAATTAGACCGCCTCGGGCTTGGCCCACGTGTGCGACATGCGAAACAGGAGTTTCATTGTATGGCCTCAGAACAGGGATCATCTGGAAAGCGCTGTCTAGCACCACGCATTTTGTTAGAAACAAAATCATAAGTTTAATCCTTTGGACAGCGCCCCAGAAGGACCCTGTGGGAACAATAAAACACAACCCTAAGCATGGAATCCAACAGGTTTTGTCAAACAACCTCGCAATATAGAGATCATTTTAACAGCTCAACAGCATATATCATACCGGAGTGCCTGGCAACAGGAATCCTCTGGAAAGCACCACGCAGAAAAAAACTGAAAGAGAAATCCGCTGGAAAGAAGCATGAAGGACCTCTACTGGGAAACATCACAAGGGGAATCTTCTGAAAAACGCTACGACGGGCTCCTTTTGGAAAGTACAACAAACTGGATCCTTTGGAAAAACCACACAAGGATTCGATTCAACTGGAAAGCGCTACTAGGGGGTTCCCATTGGGAAGCCGTACGGAAAAAAACCCACCGGAAAGCAACACTGAGGGATTCCCTGGGAAAACCTCACACTAGAAAACCTTTTGTGGAAACGCAGCTGGCGGCTCCTATTGGGAAGCCGCCCAAAAGAAGGAATCCATCGGAAAGTACCACTGACGAACCCAATCAGGAAGCCTCATAATATGAATCCTTCGGAGAGCGCCAAAGAAAGATTCAATTGGAAAGCCTCACGACAGGACTCCTTTGGAAAGCACCACACAAAGATTATACCGAACAGCCTCGCAACGAGGTTCCTTCGGGAAAAGGCACAACGAGATTCTACGGGAAATCCTCACGGTGGAAATCCTTTGGAACGCGCAGCAAAGGGTTTCCATAGGAAAACATCACAAGAGGAATCCTTGGGTAAGCACCACAAGGGGATTCTATTCGAAAGCAAAACAGAATAATCCGTAGGAGAACACCACCCACATATTCTCGCGGAAAGCCCCACACTCGGAACCCATTGGGGAACACCAAAAAGAGATTCGATGGGAAAACCTCTCAACATTAATCGTTTGGAAAACACCACCACGGCATTCGACTGGAATCCGTCACAGTGGGAATCCTTTGGAAAACACGACATAGGGATTCTATGGCGCAGCCTCACACCAGAAAACCTGTTTGACAGCACCACTGAAGGCTCCTATGTGAAAGCAGCACAAAAGAGAATCCATCGGAAAGCATCACAGAGGTATTCAATCGTGAAGCCTCACAACAAGAATATTTTGGATAGCGCCGCAAAGGGATTCTATTAGAACGCCTCACGACAGGACGCCTCTGGACAGGACCACGCAGATATTCGATTGGAAACCCTCGCAACAAGGACCCTTTGGAAAGCACCACGGCGGGATTCGACGGGAAATCCTCGCAGTGAAAATCCTTTGGAACGTGCCGCAAATGGACTCTATTGAAAACAACATCTCAACAATAATCCTTTGGTAAGCACCACAAGGGGATCCCACAGGAAAGATTAACAAAAGGAGCCCGTTGAACAACGCCACAAAAAGATGCGATTGGAAAGCCTGACAATCGGAATTCATCGGGGAGCACTACGAAATGATTCGAATGCAAAAACCTCGCAACAGGATCCCATAGGAAAATACCACAACGGCATTCCATTGGAAACCGTCGCAGTGGGAACCCGTTGGAAACAGCACAAAAGGGATTCAAGTGGACTTCCTCACAACAGAAAGCCGTTGGAAAGCGCCACAAAGGCGATTCGATTGGAACGACCCTCAACTGGAACCCATTGGAAAACACTCCGAAAGGATCCTATAGGAAATCCGCACAACGGGATTTCATCGGAGAGCGCCACAAAGGATTTGTCTGCCCCCCCCAAAAAACATCAATGGAACAACAAAGATGGCCCATTCTGTTTTTTTGCTGGGGGGAGGTGGGACAGAGAGAACAATATAGAAATCGTCACAATGGGAATCCTTTGGGAACACCACAAAGGGGATTCTATTGGACATCCTCCTCGCAACAAGAAACATTTGGAAAGCGCCGCAAAGGGAATTATATTGGAACGCCTCTCAACAGGACTCTAATGGAAAACACCCCAAAGGGATATGGGAAATCCGGACGAATGGGTTTTATTGGAAAGCACCACAAAGGAGTTTCTCCGACCCGCCCCCACCCTCCCCCCCCCCAAAAAAAAACAGTATGTTTATTTGATTTGTTGGGGACAAACAAAAAACAGCGCTCCTTATGGGAAGATGAGGAGGACGAGGAGGAGTTGTGCGATGATGAGGAGAAAAAGAAGAAAGGGAAGGATGAGAAAGGGGAGGACGAGGAGGAAGAGAAGGAAGAGGAGGAAGGATGCGATAAAATTTGGACAACCATACGAAAACACCATCCGAACGGCGAGGGCCGCCACAATCCCACGTTCTCTCTCCTTCTTCCCCCCTCCGCCCCCCTCCTCCCTCCTCCCTCCTCTCTCTTTTCTCCTCTTTTCTCCTCCCTCCTCCCTCATCCTCCCTCCTCCCTCCTCCCTCCTACTCCTCCTCCCTCCTACTCCTCCTCCCTCCCTCCTCCCTCCTCCTCCCTCCTCCTGCCCTAACCCTCATCCTCTCCCACATCCTCCCCCTTCCCCTTCTCCTCCTCCTCCTCGTCGTCCTCCTCCTCATCCTCCTCCTCCTCCTCCTCCTTCTCCACCGCCTCCTCCGCCTCCCCTTCATCCTGCCTCGTCCTCGTCCTCGTCCTCGCCCTCCTTCTCCTCCTTCTCCTCCTCCCCCTCCTAGTCTCCTCCTGCCACGTGACTGTAACGCCCGGGACATTTGAGGACACGCCTCCTCCTCCAACTCCTCCTCGTCCTCCTCCTCCTCACCCTTCTCCTCCTCATCCTCCTCCATCCTCCTCCTCCTGCGACTGGTTCCTGACTGCGACTGAACACAGAGCACTGCTGGTCCTTCTCCTTTCCGCCTCCTCCTCCTCCTCCTTCTTTTCCGTCTCCCTGCTGCTCCTCTCTGCCCTCCTGACCTTTGCACGCCCGAAGCGGGCACGGAGAAAACACGGGCACGATGCCCACCAGCACACGTGGCCCAACATCGAACAGCGGCCGCTGCGAAACGACGCTTTGTCTTCCATGGGCAACGCGCGCTGCGACACCGACAGGGCACCCATGTGCAAATGGACAGGGCCTGCTGTCGGTCAGGAGGCCGCCACTGAGGTCCTCGTCGGAAGGCTTCGGGAGCATTGGGCCAACTTGGGGGGCTGCTGCGCCGGATTCGGCCGCGGATTCAGCGGGATCAATCGGGGAACGAATAATGACATAAACAGAAAAACTCGGAGGTCCGCGCGGATTCCTCGGATCGGCGCTGGGGCCCCCCCGGCGGCGCCCGCGCGCCAGGAAGGGAGGTCTTGCGCCGATCCGAGAAATCCGCGCGGACCTCCGAGTTGATATGTTTATGCCACTTATTTGGTTCCCCTAATCAAGCGCGACAAAGCCGGACTGAGCCGGAAGCCGGATTTCGGACCAGGGCAGAGGCAGAATTTTTGACAGCCCAGGAGTTGCACCCGCACGTCGGTGTGCGTGCCCATCCTCTCCGTGCTCCCTGCGGTCGTGCCGAAGGCCGTCGCGTGGCCCCCCGGGCCCGCGGCGCCCGCCGCGCTCCTTCGAGCCGTGGGGCAGGCCGGAGGCCTTGCCCTCGGGCTGCGAGGCGCGCCAGCGGCGGACGAGGTGCGCCTCGTTGACCATCGCGAACTTGAGCTCCTGCAGCCCGGGGGGTCGACCATCGTCGACCATCGGTGGCCACTGCTCCGACGAGCCCTCGGGCGAGAGCTCACGCGAACGGCAACCTGCCGTCGCCCGGACGTCCGTTCCCTGCGGGTGTGTCGAGTTCGCGCGAGTATGTTTCGCAAGATGATCCAGGATGCTTCTCGATGGCGCACTTGCAAGCGATGCCAAGATAACCGCGGAGCGCGGCTCGAAAATGTCTCTGGAAGTGTGGGATCGGAGGGGCAATCGACGAACAAATCTGGGGAGTACAACGAACAGCACACACACACACCACACCCAAACTTGACCTGCGCATCATGGGATGCGCGCCCGGCTTGACCACCGCTGACAAACGTTGACCATCGTCGACCGCCGTTGGCCATCGATGACCATCGTTGACCGTCGTCGACCGTCGTTGACCACCGTCGGGCGAGGTGCGCCCTCGCCGACCCCCCGTGGCCCCTCGAGCCGTCCGAGGCGGCCGCCCTCTCCTGCTGCCCCGTGCCTCCGCCCCGTGCTCCCGCACCGAAGCCCCTCCTGCTGCCCACCCGCCGCCTGCAGGCGGGCTCTGGAGAAAAAATGGAATACACATCCCAACAATGCTCAAACAGATTTAGGGGAACGAAAAATGGCCTAAACATAAAAACTCGGAGGTCCGCGCGGATTTCTCGGATCGGCGCTGGGGCCCCCTCCCTGGCGCCAGACTTCCAGGACGGAGCCACAACTCAACCACTCCCGAAGGGGGTCGGCAAAATGACATACAGCACCCCCTTTTTTCAAAGTACGTGTAGACATTTACCAAGAATTGACGGTTTCGTCGGTTTGGCTGGACACATCCCGCGAGCAAAGACCCACGGCGCCCCCGGTGCATTTTATGTAGCCGTGACCCCTAGAATATAGTTCCTGATCCATTGCCGTATCATACTGATCGATTCTGGCTGATCCAACCAGGTCTGGGGCATGGCAATGCTAATTCGCATTGTCTGTTTAATCATAAACACAGACCGGGCAGGAAACACGACACGCCAGCAGCGCCTGCCCTGGATACAACGGCCAGGTCGAACCGAGCACCTGATCCACTGCATGCTGACGTCGTCCAGCATCATCCATGCCAACCTGAAAACAAGACTGTCAATCCCGTAGCTTACTCCAGCGCGGGCGATTTGAGGCGGCAGGCACACGACAGATCGGAGAAGAGGAGACGGGGAGCAGGGGGAGTAGATCGAGAAATTGGAGACAGAGGCGAGAAATACGCGCAGCATGCTCGCCCTGAGGTGCTGCCCAGCTCACAAGAACTTCACAATCCTGGAAGATGAAGCCCCGCTGCGAATTCCTTCGTTGGTGCGAATGGGAAAATCACACACTGTACAATCAGAAACGTTCGGAGCTCCGCGCGGATTTTCCGACTAGCGTCTCGCTGATGGTGGCGCAACGAAAAAAACCCTGTTGGGTCCCACAGGGGGAACGAAACACCCGAGGACGCCCAGTCTGGCAGCCGCTTCGCCCGAGACGCCCTCACAATTCCTGGCCATCGCTCGGACGTCCCTTCCCTTTGTTTTTGTTTCGCTTTCGTGCGTGGCTGTTTCGCCGAATGAGCAAGGGTGCTCCTCGATGGTCCTCTTCGGGCAACGGGCGCCCTACCTGTCCTGCCCAACCACCCCTCCCTTGTCCCGCCTCGAGGAGAGAGGGAGGGAAAGGCGAGGATGAGGCAGAAGCGGGAGAGGCAACGACGACGCAAGAGGGGAGAAATAGACGGGAGCAGGAAGCAGCGAAGGCATGGTGATGGCAGGGATGACGCCTCTCTTGTTCCGTGGGGGGTCGGCAAAACCATGCCGCAAAGGTGCCAATGCTTATTTGAGCAGGGACCGACCGTCCCGGCATTCCTAGGAGCCACACCACGATATGCTCTTCGAGCCCACGACTGTTCCGAGAACAAAAACCACGCTCTCAGCACACAAAAACGACGCGAAAAAAAAAAACAAGACAGCCTCCGCCAGACATGCTCTAAGAGAACATGCCGAGGAAAAACCACAACAGGTTCTCAGAACACAGTGCTCGGTGGGGCTATACGGGCGAGAGCCAGGACGTCCGAGAGCGATGCCGAGACTTCCATGCACGAGCCCGGCGCTCGCCCCGAGGCCGGCCCGGCTCTCTCTTCGATGCGGGCGGCCACGGTCCCCTTTGTGTCGCACAGAGAGAACGTGCACAAGACACTCTTCGCACGCGGGGCCCCGGTGCGCGCCCACGTCCCTGCCCCGGGGGGGGTGCACGGCCAGGCCTCCCGAGAAGAAAAAAAAAAAACAGTGGAGGAGTGCCTGCTGTCGCTCGTCGGCCTCCTGCGGCCTCGACCAGCACCTGCTCCTCCAGCTGCTGCTACGGGGTGGCTTTTGCTGGGGGGCAGTTTCGAGGCGCCCCACGTTGGCGGATAAGGGGGAGAGGGCGGACGCGGGGTGGGTCGCGCGTGGGCTGCGTGCAAATCGCGGGTGGGTCGCGGGGTGGGTCGCGGGGTGGGTCGCAGGGGTGGGTCGCAGGGGTGGGTCGCGAGGGGGACGACCACAACAACAATCATTCTAAGACTGTTCGCTCTTATCTTCTCGCATGCCATTCAACAGGTATGATTACCTTAAAACTATCGGTACCAGTCCTACTCGTCTTCGATCGTATCCCCCTTGGGGGTGTATCTGCAGTACCTGCCACGTGTAAGTTGGCGCCGCCACTAAAACAAGGGAAGGGAGAAGGGACAAGCAAAAGAGGGAGAGAGAAGGATGGGGCTCGAGAGAGACTTGCAGGAGGGTAGGAGCAGGAGTACAAGCGGCAGGACCAGACGGGCGGGTCGGGCGGGCGGACCCTAACGGGCAGTCTGGGCGGGAGGGCCCAGACGGCTGGGTCGAGCAGGCGGGTCGCCGAAACGTCAATCCAACATGAATCGCAAAGACGTTTCGAGCGATAACGTGATTCCCAAGTAAACCGTTCGGAAATCCAAAACGAGAGGGTGATGCCTGAGTGCTGGGGGACGCCGCCGCAATAAATGAAGAGGAAGTGCCACGCGACGCGAGGGCGCGATTGCTGCATACATTATGAGGGAGTCGGGCGCGAGGAGGCGGTTTTGGAATTAGTTGTGAGGGAGCATCAGGAGGGAGCAGTTGTTGTTGTTGTTGTTGTAAGGCAGGGGCTAGGGTCACAATCTGAGCAGGAAAACTTCCCCTTGTGCAGAACAGGGGGTGGGCCCCGGGAGGAGCACTCTGATTGAAAACACAATGCAGGGGTCGACTTCACAATCATTATTCTTCAGACATTAAAACTGGAAAAAAAACTGGGCCACGAAAGCGCACTTCACCGATGCACCCAGGAATGGTGAAGACCGCTCGGCCCCCGCACTTCAATTTTTTAAACCACCATTCGTCCTCTGACTGTCGTTGCCCCGGACTGGCGCCCCTGGCGCCGCCTCCGGCGCCGCCCCTGGCGCGCTGCCCGCACCAGGGAGGGGTGCTCAGCGCTGAGCCAAGAAATCAGCGCGGAGCCCCGAAAATTGTTGTTCATGCCAGTCTTAGCTGCCCCGATACGCGACACGCAACACGTAGCGTGAACACGTAGGTCGGGCACGATACGCTCGCCAAAATATAGTTAAACCAGCACGCGCCGAGCCAACGCGCAGCGTGTTAGCACGGACGGTTTGAACGTTTTGAACGCGGTACGTGTTGGCTTTCAGCACGAGCGAATCAGGGCAGCCGAGTTGCCGGATGCTCTTCCTCGAGCTCGGCGCCCGCCCTCCGGCAGGCGCCCTTCAAGAGGAGGGGCCCGACGCCGCTGGCCAGCCTCGCCGCCCGCGCGCTGCTGCGACGGCCCCTCCTCCTCCTCCTCCTCCTCCTCCTCCTCCTCCTCCTCCTCCTCCTGCAGGCCCATGGGGTCGACAAGCACGGCGGGCGGCGCCCTCGTCCTCCACCTGCGGGCGCGCCCGCCGCCACGGGTGCGCCCCCCGCCCGCCGCGCAGGCCGACGAGCTCTCGCGGCGTGCAGGGGGAAAGCGAAAGGGGGGGCCACGACCAAGACTGGGCACGGAGACCGAGCATCTCCTGGCTGATCTCCGGCCCCACCGGCACAGCCTCGGCCCCAGTGGCCCCGATAAGCCCCCGCTCGGTGGGGTGCTGGGCTGCTCCCTTCGGGCTTCGAGGGGCCTGTCCTGAAGTCGGGCATGTCCTCCTATAAAGGGGGATTTTGAAGGAAACGTGCGAAACATACTCCAAAAAAATGGAACATTATATTAAAAACTCAAACACTCGTCCCCAGACTATGTTTTGACTATTGTCGAATCTTCCTCCCGTAGAGGGACAGGCCCGACTAAATCGATGCTGCCAACCTTCGCGCCGATCTCGCTCACCGTCCAGACCATGGTCGGCACCAGCTCGTGCATCTCGCGAGGCGGCGACGGTCGCCGACGGGCTCCCGCGACAGCCTGCTCATTGGCCAAGGGGCGGGCCAGGCGGCCCGCGCAGCGGCGGCTTCGGCATGGTGGGGGCGGCGGGAGCTGCGTCAGCCGCCGCGCCCCGCCGCCATGCCCAGGGCGGCGACGGCATGCCGTGTCCGGGGGCACCCGAGGCCGTCCTCGCGGTGGGAGGGGCGGGGGACCCGGATCTCCGACGGTGCGGTTCCTCGGTGTGGGGCTCTTCCTCGAGCTGGGCCCGCCGGGCCCTTATCTATAGGCCCTGCAGGCCAGCAGGCAAGCATCCAGGGACGAAGAACAGCCACCAGAGGTGCGGCTGGGGCCTCTGGGCGACAAAAAGGTACCGCTACGGCCACCGCTATACTCCAAGGACCTCTCCCGGGGCGCGTACTGACCAGGCGCTCCAAACGAGTCCAGCCGTGGCGACGGGGGCCGCCCAGGAGGCCCAAGCAGGGGCAACCGCGGGAAGGGTCTGGCGGTGTCGGCACCCGTTCCTCCTCTGCTCTTCGCCCTCCTCGCCGCCCTTCTCGTCGCCCCCCCCCTGGCTCTTCTTG